TGAATTTTGAACATCACTCTAGTCTGACTATGATTTGGACCCTAGCCAATGGGAAGAGGGAAATTGCTCAGTATGTTGCTCAATGTTTGGTATGTCAACAAGTGAAAGTTGAACATCATAGACCTGCAGGTAAGTTACAACCTTTTTTTATTCCCGAGTGGAAGTGGGAACATATTACTATGGATTTTGTGACAGGGTTGCCTAGGACCTAATTGGTAACAATGCTATTTGGGCTATCGTTGATCGATTGACCAAATCCGCTCACTTTCTAGCTTTTATGGTAGGGTTCTCCTTAGAGAGGTTTGCAAAATTGTATATCAAGGAGATTGTGAAGTTGCATGGTATTCCGATGACCATAGTGTCTGATAAAGATAGCAGATTTGTATCTATGTTTTGAAGGAGTTTGCATATAGCTTTGGATACTAGTTTGAATTTTAGCACGACCATTCATCCTCAAAGTGATGGACAGTCTAAGAGAACTATTCAGACTCTTGAAGACATGTTAAAGGCCTGTATTAATGATCTTGGAGGTTCTTGGGATGAGCATTTGGCCTTAGTGAAATTCTCTTATAATAATAGTTATCATGCGAGCATTCAGATGGCACCATATGAGGCTTTATATGGACGAAAGTGTAGATCACCTATTTATTGGGATGATGTGGGCGAAAGGAAGTTGTTAGGGCATGAGATTGTGCAACAAACAGTGGACAAGATCAATCTTATTAGAGAGCGACTTCGCATTGCACAGAGTAGACATAAAAGTTATGCAGATAATAGGAGACGCGATTTGGTGTTTGGGATTGGAGACCATGTGTTCCTTAAGGTGTCTCCTATGAAAAGAGTAATGAGGTTTGGTGTTCGTGGTAAATTGAGTCCTAGATTTATTGGACCATTTGAGGTTTTAGATCAAATTGCAGAGGTAGCTTCCAGACTTGCCCTACCACCTTCACTAGTTAGAGTTCATAATGTCTTCCATGTTTCGATGTTGAGGAAGTATATACCGAATCCCAATCATGTGATTGATTATGCACCGTTGCAGTTTAACGAGGATTTAACCTATGAGGAACACCCTGTAAGAATTGTTAATAAGAAGGAGCAGGTTTTGAGGCGTCGAGTCATCCACTACGTTAAGGTTCAATGGAGCATTCACTCGGAGAGAGAAGCTACTTGGGAACTTGAGGATGAAATGAGACAAAAGTATCCACAACTTTTTGAGACTACAGGTATGTCAAATTTCGAGGACGAAATTTCTTTTAAGAGGGGAAGAATGTAAAACCCAAGTTGTGTGTAGGATTATTTTATTGGATAGATTAGTAATTAAATTAATTTATATGGGTCATTTATTAATATCAAAGAATTAGTTATGAGATGGCATTATATTTTCTATTACTTAGATGGGTAATTTTGTAACTTTGAGAAATTAGGTTAATAAGTCCACTTATTGTGGCTTTAAGTCTTAGGAAACAAACAAAATAGAGGCTAGGAATTGCTCCATAGGCAGCTAGGGTTTGAGAAGGTAAAAGAGAAAAGAAAAGAAAAAGAGAAGAGAGGTTCATGTGAGGCTGCAATAGGGATTGGAGGCAGCACGTTGGTGATTTTGGGACACCCATTGGTTAAGGTAAAATCTGTCTTTACTATTAATTGTTAAGTTTATGTTGAGGAATTTAACAATCAATGCATTAAGGGGATTTGGAAGATCTTTAGGTGCCTACTTAGGTTTTGAGAATTGGGTGCAATGTGTAAGTGTATCTTTGGGTGGGTAATAGAATCAATGGAGTTTTGTATTATGGGTAAGGGTGTGTTTGGCTATAAAGTTGGGTTGAATGGTTTGATCACTTGGATATTAAAGCAATACATTAATCTAATATGATAGGGCTTCTGTGGGTGTATATCACACGTAAAAATATTAATTTATTTGAGGTTTTGTTTATTAGGTTTGTATGATTAAAGTGGTGGAGCTGAATGTTTGGAGTTAGTGTTGGAATATTGTTTTTAAGCATTTGATGTAAGTAACCCTCTATCACTGTTGGTTCATTTTTATTCCTACTGAATCGTTTAAAATTATAAATATTTGTTTATAGCTTTCATGTTCTCTTAAAATAAAATATGGGTCAAGTATAAAACAACATCGAATATTATTATGAAAGTTATTTGAATATTTTGTGAAACTATTTTGAAAATTGTACCAAATGTTTATTCCGAAAATATCGAATATTTTATTTAACAGTTGTGTATTGTTTGAATTTTGAACATCACTCTAGTCTGACTATGATTTGGACCCTAGCCAATTGGGGTTATTTATTGGCACAGAAACTAGTTTCTTTTGGGGCTTTACCACCGGCCTATGTGTGGTTCTGGGCCTTGTCACGGGCTAAGTGACCGTAGTCATTAAGACTTGGGTTTTGTGAATCAAATCATTGAACCATCTGAATATCGAACCATCGATTTGAACAACGAATTACTTTGAATTATGTTGTTGGCTTTTCATTTAAAATGTATTGTACATTGTTTATTTTTAGCTATGAAACCATCTTACAAATAATTGTTCATTTATTGAACTGTAGAAAAAAATTATATTTATTGGTTATCGATTTATTTATTTATTATTGTATACTTGATCCAGCTAGCAGTGATGGTTGGTTATTTACTGGGCTATCTAGCTTACCCTTATTTTTTTTTCAGATTCTGAAGAGTAGAGTTGCGCGAGATTATTTTTACATGTGGGAGTGCCGAGAGTAGGACTATGATTTAAGTACTTGGATTATTGTTTTGTTAATGGATTTTATTAGTGGACTTGGTGGATAATTTCATGTGATAAGAATAATCAATTTTTATGGATTTTAGCATTATGACAATTAAGGATTTAATTGAAGTATTTTACATTGTTGGTTATGTATTGGACTCTTAGCCTTGCATGCTCACTTAAATGAGTGTGCGGCGTTGTCACTAAATAACTTGGACTTAAGCTTTTGGGTATTGTTGGTCGACCCACAAGTTATTTGGGCCAGCAAGTAGTGGGGCGTTACAATTACATTGTCCACACACATACATACACATACATATATATATATATAACAAGAATAGTTAATGGCATCTCATCGAAGTACTATTTGAATTGATGCTTAATGGAATTGAAGGAGTTTGAAAATTAGGCATAAGAATTGTCTTCTTCAACCATTGATTGGTTGTCTTTTTGGCTCTTTGTTTCAAGTTGAGAATGGAAAAAAATTCTCTGGATTTTTTCCCCAAATTTCTCTTCGCAAGGGAAATTTCTCTGAGATCTCTCTGAAATTTCTCTGTGAATATTCTTGAGGCGAGCAGTGAAGGTTCTGGTGAGGGAAGAAATCTCCAGTGGCTGAACGAGCAACTCGAGAATAGAGATGAAGAGAGAGAGAGAGAGAGAGAGAGAGAGAGAGAGAGAGAGAAGATGTTGACGTTGAAGAAGACGAAGACGAAAGACGAAGACGACGGTGGTGGACCAAAGAAGCCATATATAGATATAGATGAATATGTATTTATGTATGTATATCAATGGCATCATCTGGTTTCTTTTTGATCTGTAGTCAAAAACACAATTTTATCTAATTTGCTCACAACACAGAGAAAATTGTGAGGATAAAGAAATTTGTGAACAAATTAGAGAAATTTTAAAACACAAAAAATTTTAAAAATATAAAGAAAATCAGATAAATTTAGCACATTAAAATTTTTTTAAAACATAGAGAAATTTATTTGAAATTTGTTTATGTTTTGAAATTTTTCTAAATTAAAATTTCTCTGAAAAATATTTTGTGACGCCAACCACTATGAAAATATAACTATGAAAATATTCTTTATCCTTTAAAATCTTAATATCATGGACTTTAAAAAAAATTTAATTTTAATTAAGTTAAAATTTTATATAAAATTATATGAAGAGTAAAATTAAGATAAGATGCACCATTAAAGTGAAATGGACTTTTGAAAATATTATATTATTAGTTTTGAAAATAATTTTGAAATAATTTATAATTTTTTTTTCTCGGGAATTTGGTCAAAGTTTATCATAATAAAATTTTACTATATTAAGAACGAGAACAAGTATAAAAAAGTTTTTCTTAAATGTTTAGTATATACAACTACAACAATGATTCATCCTTCTTTTTCCTCCCACCCCCTTTACTCCCTCTCTCTCTCATTGGTTATATTTTCTTTTTCTTTTTCTTTTTTTTCATGTTTCTCCAATCACCACCCGCCACGTGGCAAAAGGGATGAGGGGGGTGACCCTCAAAAGGGGGTTAGTAAGTGACTAATTTAATATTTTTAATTTTAAAATGATACAACTTTTGATCTGCATATCAATTTTAATAAAAATTAATATTTTTATAATTTTCTTTTATCAAAATTTATTTTTTAAGATTTAAGTTGATTATGAAATTTTTTTTTTAATTTTTTCTTAAAATATCGACAAAATTGACGTAAATAGTATTAAGTTATTTTGAGGCCTCTATCATGCCATACATGTGATGTTTGCATGCCTTGCCCTCATTCCACATACTATTTCAGTCCATGAAATATTGTTGTTCACTTGCATTTGACATGCCTTGAATGCTTTGTATAGCTTGTGCTTTATGCTTCAAGAATGGATTTTTGCACATGCCGCTTAGCCTAAGCCTTTGGCTCATCATTTCAGTACATTTTGGGTCCTAATATACCATGATGTAACTCTGTTTTTGGTTGTCCAAGTCATGCCATGATTGGTTCTCATAGGTGTAGTGCATTGCCTCTTTTGTAGCCTTGCATGACCTATGTTTTAGCATTGTATGCTAGCTTGCTTTGGCCTACTTCCATGCATGTTTTAGTCTCATATCAGTATGTACTAGGACTGTTTTGGGTTGCCCTTGCCATACCCTTCATGCTTCGTATAGCTGTAGTGTAATTAGCCTTGCAAGCTTCGTGTTTCGGTGATTCACACATGCTATCCTTGAGCTATTTAAATGATTTGGCATCATTTATCATCTCATTTCAATGCATATAGTGCTGTTACACTTTCACATTTGGCACTTCTTAGGCACTTTTGAGAGTTGCCCTTTTAGGCCCCTTTGATGAACCTTTCGCATTTCGCATGCTTGAGTGTGTTGTGTGGCTTCATTCATCACTTTTGGCTACTGATTTGGACCTAGTTGAGAGCCGTCCATCTTTGGTGTAAGCCCATCTTACCATGTTGTTGCATGCTTGTTTCATGTCGTATGTTGTTGCATACTTGTTTCGCTTTGTATACCTTGCATGCTCACATGTTCATGTTGCATTTTGTCATGTTGTCCAAGGTCGTCACCTCACATCATGTTTATATGCTTGTTGCATGCTTGGGTTAGTTGCATGTTTGCACACTTAGGTCATGTTGCATGTTTGCTATGCTTATGTGTTGCATTGCTTGGATTAAGTATTAATCTGAGCACGAGAAACGAGGGGCGTTTCATACTCCGAGTGATGGAACGTGTCTCAATTCTCGGTCGCCGAAGCTCTTGATGATTAATGATAGAGTTCTAGGCTTTACTCGCTTCATTTGTGCATTCATTTTCATATTGATTTGCGCAAGTTGGATCTTTGGCCATCATGCATCGGGATGCGTGATTGATGGTTGTGGATCCGACTAGGCCTCTCCCTTAATGTTTTGAGGTGATTTGGTGTGCCATGGTGCATACACGTTCTTAGGAAACCCTCCATTTTCTCTATTTTGTGCTTCATTGCAGTTTGGTGTCACAGCACACCAGTGGCCGGCAGCCTGCCGCTGATGGCCGGCAGTATGCCACCCTTGGCCGGCGATGGACCATCTCTGGCCGGCAGATATCCTTTCCTGCCCAGCAGGCCACTGGTGACCTCCCCTGCAGTGTTTTTGGTAAGGTCCAGCAACAAGCACTAGAAGACACCCTGCAAACAGAGCCTCTGAAGAGCAATAGGAAGGCGTTTCGAGGCGAAGAACTGAATGCGAGCATGCACACCTTCCTTCTTCAAACAGAGCTAGAACAGCATCATTTACTGCTTTCCCTATTTGTTTGTTGTCATTCATTTGTTGTTTAATTGATTCGTTAATTAATTAAGTTATGTAATAATTAGTTGCAGCTAGTTATTCAATTCGGTTCTGTAATAATTAATTAGCTTGTGAGTTAGTTAATTAGGAGGCTTGTATTATTTATTCGGTCCCTTCGAGTGAGGGCAAATTTGTAATAAGCGTGCATGCGTGTGTGCATGTCTTCCAACCCCATTCCTTTCTCCCTTTTATTTAACCGCTTA